GGTCCTCCCTCTTCCCTTTTTTAAAGATGGGGACCACGTTGGCTATCTTCCAATCATCTGGCACCTGGCCCAAGCACCACGAGTGCTCATAAAGCCATGCCAAGGGCCCTGCAATAACCCAGTTATATAGGTGTGCAACACTTGCTAATGTCTGTTTTACTGAAACAGGCCTGTATCATTTAAAAGGATGCTTATACCTAATAATTGCATTTTTGAAAATGGGAACCTTCTTTCTGGTACATTCTAAACCAGAAGTTCATATATTTCCCTAAGGCTTCAAATAATAATGTCTGTATCCCTAGTCTTTTTTTCTATTTCTTAACTGAAGAGGGAGATAGAGAAGCTAAGATGATCCAAGTAGGCAGTTGGTATATGAGATGCTGCAACAGGAAAGTGACATTCATTTTCAGCAAGGGAGAAACTGACTGACTATATAATGGGAACTGTAAACTTAATTATGAAAAAAAAATTAAACTCTTTTCAGGCTCAGTAGCTTAGCAATTAGAGTAGGTTCAAATGTTCCAATGAAAATGTAATTGATGGTATTTCTTCAAGAAAGTAAGCTGTAAGAGGGTGGCCTGTCCCCTTAAGAGAAGGCAGCTAGCCTGCTTGGCTAAAGGGCTGCAGCTGTGGGAGGGCTAATGAGGGCATGGCTCTTTAGGAATCAAAAACCTCAGCAAGAAGAACCAGCAGGTAGAGAGTAAACAAGAAGCATCAGAGGTGAGAGACTTCGGACTATGAGGAGGATAAGCCTGGGGAAGGAAGGCTGAAGCCACAGCAGACCCATCCCAGGGTCCAGGACAAGAAGGTTTTTTTGTCGTCTTACTTTGCGTGGTGAAAGACTGTACACAACTGGGGCAGAGCTGTACAGCTCTGTGTACTCTCTGCTGTGTACACTCTGTGTACACTCAGCTCTGTACATTCTGCTGTGACATGGCTGTAGCAGAGAGAGGGAAAAGAAGGCTCTGTGCCCCTCTCCGCCAGGTGAGAGAGAAAACCCCGGCCAGAGTGAAACTAAAGGAAGCCCTGGGGACATAAACTTACCTAAGGAGCAGCTGACTATCAGCTGGCAAATAAGCCAGCAGATTGGCTGCCAGGAGCACCAGTGGGGAGATAGGAAGCAGCTGTGCAGCCTGGAAGAGGGAGGAGAAAGAGAAGTAAATCTCCCAGGCTGCAACACTTCCTGATGGGTTGAAGAGGAGCACAAAGGCTTCTGTTCTTTTGTTGTGTTCAACAAAGGCTTCTGTTTCTGTTGTAACACCAGTGGATTGTGGAGGGAGTGTAGAGGTGATGGAGTTCCCAGCCAGTGAGGCCCTGCTTAGACTCACAGGGTGACCAAGACAGCAAGCTTGCCATCCCTTAAAGGGACAGGCCCTAATTTTGAACTGTGTTTTGGACTGCAACTACCATGAGTGTAGATCCTACCTATAAACAGATTACATATCATCACAGTGAACTGCCTTCTGTTCTGTAGATCACAAACTCAACATCAAGGCATGGCGGGCGAATAGATACTAGAGGCAGAAACACCCCTAGGCCAATTTTGGTTTGGGGAGTACCCAGTCAAGGGCACCTTCCCCACCCTGCCACAATGGTGAGTACAGGTCACATTATAATAAGCCTGCCCAGCCCCTAGCCATGGGGCTACAAGTCCTCAACAGCAGAGCAGGTGGAAGAAGATGTTAGAACCTCAGTGGCCATGATGGCAGGCAAAGGCTGCAGTGGAACAAGATTTCTAATTGGCTTGGCCTCCTTGCCTTTGGATCAAGGTCCCGTTCTGTCAAGAACCATGTGGAAGCTGATATGTAGCAGCTTCTCCATAATAAAAGAAATCATGCACAGGCATCTTCCATGGAAACAGCTTTTCCAGCACTTCCTTCAGCTATTAACTGTAACCAAGTAGCCCTCTTCATGATCTATTGTGCTCACCTTACATGTGCAGGGGCCTAGAAAAGTTTTCCTAAGCATAGTCTGGCTACCTTTTTCCTGACTGGGAGCCATGTTAAGTGGGATCTTTACTGTAGTCAAAATCAACAAAGACACATGATCAGTTTTGAGACCTGGAACATCATGACCCTCATGGACAATCCTAATAGTGAATGCCCAGAGTACTACAGTGCAGTTGTGGCTCAAGAACTCAGGCAACACAACATTAATGTCATTGCACTGAGCAAGACCCAGTGAGTAGGAGATGGGCAGCTTATAGAACAAGGAAGTGGCTATACTTCCTTCTGGAAGGGTAAACAGGAAGGAGAACACCAGCTTCACAAAGTTGGTTTTGCCATCAAGAATGAACCCATAAACCAACTCAATGAGTTCCTTATCAGAATTAATGAGTGCCTTATGACTTTTAAACTGGGAGGAAACACGTATGCTCCGACTCTTTTATGCTGCCAACAAAACCAAGGAGAAATTCTACACCAAGCTTTACAAGTCCTGTCTGCCATTCCAGAGGGAGACAGATTATTCTTTTTAGCAATTTTGACACCAGACTCAGAAGGGACTCAAACCTCTGCACTGGAACCATCAGGAAGGAAGGAGTGGGAAAGGTCAACTCCAGTGGCATCCTCCTTTTGCCCAAATGCATGGAACATGGGCTCACCATCAGCAACACCCTGTTCCACAAGTAAAACAGGCACAAGACATCACAGCAACATCCATGTTACAAGCATTGGCACTTGACTGGCTACATCATTGCCCATGCCCAGGATCACAAAGATGTACGCATCACCCAAGCTATGTTAGGAGCTGATGATCACCGACTCATCTACTTGGTTATGTCATTCAAACTGACCCCAAAATGATGGCTTCAGCAGAAGCAATGGCCATAGAAGATCAATATCAAAAGACCCAAGGACTTAATTAAGTGAGACCTCTTCCACTAGAGCCTCAGTGAAAAACTGGTGAATTCCAATTAACAACAATGGTAAAATGTCAGCAGTGCTTGGGGTACCTTCAAGTCCACTGTCATCCATGCCCGCGAAGAGATGCTTGGATTCTTTACCAGGAAACATCAAGACTGGTTTGGTGAAAATGACTAAGAGATCCAAGGTTTGATTGACCACAAGTGCAAAGCCTTTTGTGCTTGGCAGAATGACATCACACAGATGAAGAATGACAAGGTATTTGGAGCTGATGGAATCCCTGCCAATCTTCAAATGGGGGAGAGGAGCTCAACCACAGCTCCATGCCCCCATCTTAAGGATCTGGAACAATGAGGTAATCCCAAATGACCTCAGAGACACTGTGATCATGACAATCTTCAAAATAGGAGACGATTCTGACTGCAGATATTACAGAGGGATCACCTTACTGTCCACCACAGGAAAGATGATTGAAAGAAACCTCCTGAACCATCTCTTTCCACTTGCTGAAAAGCTTCTCCCAGAATTCCAGTGTGGGTTTAGGTTATCTAGAGGCACAACTGTCATGATCTTCACAGCTCACCAGCTGCAGGAAAAATTCTTGGAACAACATAAGTCTCTGTACATGCCTTTTTTGACCTCATGAAAGTCTTCAACTTTCTCAACTGAGAAGTGCTATGGAGCATCCTTCTGAAGTACAGATGCCCATCAAAATTTGTCACCATTCTTTACCTGCTTCATGGTGGTATGTAAGCAGTAATTCTCAATAAAGAATATTTTACAGATCCCTTTGAGGCTAAGACGGGAGTTAAGCAAGCTGCATCATCACTCTAATACTCTTCTCAATATTTCTTAGCACAATGCTACATCTGATCACCAACAAGCTTCTAGCTTACCATCTAAACTGTAAATGGATGGTAAACTGTTTAATATCAGCTGACTCTGAGCCAAAAGCAAGACCACTCCAACCTTAGTCATCAAACTCCAGTAGGCTGATCATTCTTTAGTGTGCGCTCACTTCGAAGCAGACCTTCAGGCAATCATCAGTGTCTTTACCGAGGCATACAAAAAATGAGACTGAGGCTTAATGTGCAGAAGACTAAGGTCCTCCATCAACAAGCTCTTAACGAGCAGTCCTCTCAGAGCAAAGTTTACTAGAAAAAATGAGACGAAAAACATTTTTCCTAAGCTCTCTTAAATACTCTTCAAATACTCAAAAGGCTGCCATAAACAAGAGGAAAAGCACCTTTTCTCTCTTGCTGCAGAGAGGAGGGTGCAGACCAATGTCCTGAAGATGCAGCAGAGTAGGTTTAAGATGGATATGAGGAAAAACTTCTTCACTCTTAGACTTGTGAGGCAGTGGAATAGGCTGCCTAGGGAAACTCTAGACTCTTCATTGCTGGAGGTGTTCAAGAAGAAATTGAACAGCCACTGGTCAGGGATGATTATAGGCCTAGCTATGCCTATGTTCTACTATGGGCATTTTCCATGCTTCTGAGCTTTGCTGGTTGCCCCCTCTTCTGCTTTCTGCTACTTGTATCAGGGCATTTTTAAGCCTTCCTCAGAGGCACTGGGTGTTCTCTGCAGCCAAAGCTGGGGATTTGGACTAGGATGTGCCAATGTTTCTGCTAGGACTAAAGTCAAAGATTCTTGATTAGGTCTTGCCCCTCCACTCAGGGTGAGACCAATTGCCATATTTGGAATCAGGAAAGAATTTTACCCCATGATTAGACTGGTATAGACTGTTGGGATTCTTGCCTTCCTCTGTAGCAGGGGGACATGGCCCTCTTCCTGGGATTTTTTCGTCTGCCATAATTTCCCTGCTTTACCTATGCTAGGTTTAGGTGTTATGTGTTGTGTTGTGACTGAGTTGATGGTAATTTTATAAAGAGTTTAGAAGATGGGTTTTATAGCATGGTTTGATCCTGTCTCAGGAGGGGTTTGGACTAGATTAACCCTGGAGGTCTCTTCAGCCCTACCTCCCTATAATTCTGTAATACTGTTTATAAAAAAACAGGTAAATGTACTTATACAAAAATATGGGGAGTTTTCAGTCAACAGTCTGAATGAATTAAAATGAATAGCAATGTTCTTTCTCTATACTTAGGTGGAAAAGAGCTATTTTTGACAAAGGAACAGAAAAAATATTATAATGCATTGAAGAAACTTGGGACCAAGAAACCACAAAAACCCATCCCAAGGCCGCTGGTAAGACCCTCCTAAATTACTTTAATAGAAATAAATGTAATCATTGACTATTTTAAAACCAATCAAGCAATCAATCAACTGGTAACAATATTACACCTGACTAGAATATTAATTGCAGATATTATTTACTAATATTGTCCCGTTTCTCTTTACAAGTAACTTGCAAATTGTTTCTATTTTCTTCACATGTGCTCTGTATATATTATCCAGATATACTGAAAACAAGTGCAGCCTATCAGCTGTTTGTGGGTTGGTCTCTCTGAAGTATTAATAAAATACATTGGGAAACTATTTGCAGCTTATAGGGTGTTTGTGAGTTGTTCATGATAACCAGTAGGGCTCTGTGAAATTTCACCACCTGTTTCATTTTGACATGGTTTCAACTCATTTTGAGCTTAAAACAATGAAATTGACGTGAAACAAAGGGCTTTGAAACAGCCTCGAAGCAAAATGAGGGCAGTCAAAACATTTCAAAAATTTCAAAACGTTTCGAGTTTTGAAGCAGCCTGACTGAGTTCCTGTTCCCAGCACTAGGATCGGGCTGAGGAAAGGAACTCAGCCTGATCACTCAGTTCCCCTCCCCAGCACTGCCATTGGGCTGGGGAAGGGAACTGAGCCCAATTGTTCAGTTCCCCTCCCCAACACTGCCATCAATTGGGCTGGGAAAGGGAAGTCAGCCCATCTGAGCTGAGTTCCCCTCCCCAGCACTATGATCGGGCTGGGGAAGGGAAGTCAGCTCAGTTGGGCTGAGTTGCCTTCCCCAGCCCGATCAATGGCAGCACTGGGGACAGGAACTGAGTGATTGGGTTCAGTTCCCTTCCCCAGCCTGATGGATCGCAGTGCTGGGGAGGGGAACTGAGCAATGGGGCTCAGTACCCTTCCCCAGTCCGATGGATCACAGCGCTGGGGAGGGGAACTGAGCGATTGGGTTCAGTTCCCTTCCCCAGCTCAGTCGGGCTGGGGATGGGAACTGAGCCCCCGCAGCCTTCCTGGGGTTGCAGCCTCTGATCTTCCTGCCAGATGAGAGAAGCTGGGTGCTGATGCCTGGGACCAGCAGCATGCTGGGACACAGGTTGTGGCAGCCTGGGACCCAGGCAGCAGCACCTGGCTTCCCTCCCTCATCTGGCAGGCAGATCAGAGGCCCACAACCCTGAGAGAACTGGCACAGTTCCAGCAGGCCTCCTGGGGTTGTGGGCCCCCGATCTGCCTGCCGGATGAGAGAGGCTGTTTCGAGTTTCCCCATTATAGTGTATGGGCAAAACTCAAAATAGCGTTGAAACAGCATTACTGTTTGGATGAAATGAAAAGGAACATCAGTTTTGAATCAAAATGAAATTCTAAACGTAATGCTGTTCCATCAGAACATCAAAACGCAAGTCAAAACGGAATGGTGCCATTTTGCACAGCCCTAATAACTAGCTGCTATTCATTATAAGGGATCTGGGTTTTCCATTTACCATGGAAGAGCACGGTAAAACACAGATTTTCTCATTTAAAAAATGTGGGGAAAAGCAGGTTTCCCTTTGCAGGCTGGCAGAGTTCCAGCCTGGAAGGGGCTGGGCAGAATTGGAGGAGAGTGATCGGGCATGGGGCGCCATGTGCATGTGCGCATGCACACATGCATATGGCAGCCAGGCAGCCTGGAGAGCAGCTCCCACAGCTCCCTATAGATAAGTCTATGGGGTGTGGGGGTGGAATTCAAGCCCCATAGTGAGGGAGGGATAGAGGGAGTTGGGTAGGGCTGGGGAAGAGGCTGCTGGCCAGCCGAGGAGGTACATGGGGCCTGGTACCCGCAGCCAGGGCAGGAATGCACAGCCACAGGGCCCAGGTGGGGAGTAGGACACAGCCACAGGTGGCTTATCTAGGTGATGGTGGGTGGACTGGCTCCCTACCTCTGTGCACACTCCTGGGGAGGACATGGAGGGCATGTCCCCCCCAGATTTTTGTGCAGGGGTTCAGATGCAGGCTAGCAACTGCAGGCTTGGGGCTCCCTGCCCTGCTGCCGTCCCCCAAGGAGCCTCTGCAGTCCAGCAGGTGGGAGTCAGCACAGTTGGGCACAGTAGGGTGTGGAGGCTCAGTGTGACCATTTAGAACCCTGTGGTGCCATGGTGAGGCATCTCCTGTCCACTTGGCAGCAGTGAGGGTGTTGGCACAGAGTTGTGCCCCCCACTGCAGGAGGTGCCTTGCCATGGTGATGCAGCCACTGTGGGTCTCCTGGCTGCGACATGGACTCTGCTCCAGCTGTGCCACCTGTGGTGGAGGGGGAGCCAAGATCCACACTCCACTTGGGCCACAGCAGCCGCTGCCTCCCTGAAGCAACAGCTGGGGCTTGGGCACTGATGGGGGCCAGGTTCTGTGGACCTGGGTCCCTGATTTTGTAGCCCTGGCAGGGCAGGGCTGCAGGGGGATGGAGGGACTGTGAGTGGAAGTGAGGGGCAATGGCATGGGCAGGGCACCAGCATATCAGGGCTGCTCAGTGCCACAAAACAGTGGGGGGAGGGACACCTGCAGCTGTACCCACACCCTGGTGAGCAAAGGGGATAGGGACAGTATTTTATTTTAAATTTGGAAAAATGCAGATTTGGGGGTTTTAAATCAGAGATTTGGCAATTTTTATCAGAAAATTTGTGATTTTTGAACAGAGAAGACCAGGATAATGTATTGTTTGTCACCTACACTTGATATTGTTTTTGCTTCCAATTTAAAATATTGCCAAGTACAACAGAAGAGAAATGAATAGGGAATAACAAATAACTTATGTCTGGTATTTAATAAATAAATACATTTCATTGATGTTTAAATCTGTAAAAATATCAAGATTAATGAACATTATCATAATTTCTTCTGTCTGAATACCTGTATACAGTAAGAAACATTAGCAGTACTGTTTTTACTTGATTAGAAGATGAGGTTTTTTTCCCCACCATTTCACATGAGGAAGAAATCCCCTCACCTTAAATTAAGCATGAGGTGGGGTAATGAGGGCATGCAGCTGCTGTGGCTACAGCCCCAACATGGAGTTGGGTCTGGAGCTGGACCTGCAGCTACCATCTGCTCCCCACTGCCTTTGCATGCCACACCACTCCTCTGCAACAGCCCCCAGTCTCCCCCCAACTCCCTCCCCATGTTGCTTCTCCCTCTCCCCCTCTGCTGCACTCCTTACCTTTGTTCTGCATCAACAGGCTCCTTCCCTGCTGCAGCCTGGGGCACAGAGCATGTATATGTCCTTTTCCTCTAATACACGTATATATTAGGCTTGGTTGCAGTCTTGACTATGTAAAGGTATCATGTAAAAACACTTAATGCAGATTATAGTAACATTTATTTTCACCTTCTGACAAAAAGAAGGAAAAACTAATATTTTGCATTGCTTGAATCTCACAACTAACATTATTCTCTCTCTTTTTTTCATTTCAGAACAAATTCCAAGGTTTTGTTTTTGACATTGTATCCCACCAAGCATTTGATATTGCCATTGCAATTTTCATCTGTCTTAACATGATTGCCATGATGGCGGAAAATGAGAATCTAGACACTAAAAACGTTCTTAGTAGGATCAACTTGGTCTTTGTTCTCATCTTTACTGGAGAATTCATCCTGAAATTGCTGGGCCTAAGACATTACTACTTTACCAATAGTTGGAATATATTTGATTTAGTTATTGTGATCCTTTCGTTAATCAGTAAGTATAATTGATTACCATTACAATAATTAATATAACTAATTACAAAACAATAGTTACTCTTAGGCCAGAGAATTATGTTTTGCCAACACCAACCAAACGAAATGAAACAGAATTTTGTTTGAACAGTAGTGAAAGTTAATGCAGATTATACAAACTCTGGATCCATTCTCCTCAACCCCCTTTGAAAAGCTTCACAATCTTTCTTCTTTCTGTGTCTAATCCCCTTTGTTCCACATTTGACTTACTTTCTACTTTTATTCCTTTCTTCTCTATTTCTTTGGTTTGTTCTTTTTATGCAGTTACAGAAAAAAATCATAGAATTTAAGCAAGCATTGATAGAGGGAAAGTTGTAGTCCTGGTTGCCAGCTTTTTTCCTTGTCTCTCCATAGCATCTCCAGGTTGCTGACATTGCTGAAAATTATCTAGTTCTTCATTATTCTTTTCTTGGACTAATACTAGACACTTGCATCATGGCTGTGCTGCCATGTATACTAGTTATTTGATTATCATAGGTAACAGGAGCACAGTAGGCACATCCAGGCTAGGGACAGACATTCAGAAAGCCTGAGCCTGAATTAATTCAATCTTTGCAGGTTAGTCTAACCTGGCTCAGCTAAATCAGTTTTGTAACTGAACAGACATCATGGAAATGCAGACACATGCCTGTAGTGGCTCAGGCTAGGAGCCAGGGGCTGGTAGAGCAGCCCTCCCTTCCTTCCACAGCATGGAGCTGAGAGGGGCATGGCCAGGCTCCAGCAGGATGCTGTGATTAGCCCAGCAGGAATAACAGTGTGTATCACCCAATTAAGAAAACAACAGGGGGACATTATCAACTACTTGTTGATTCTGCCTGTTGATTCCACACAGATCATAGCCATCATCTGGTCTGCTAGCTAATACACAGATACCTCCTCAGCAAGGCAAAGGAGAGGGGGGGATTCCTGCTTAGCACAGAGTGATGAGGGGGAGGGAAGGGAGCTGTGGCCAGGGAGCAAAGGAGAGGGGCCAGCCTTGCTGTGGATCAGAGAGCCCCACCCAGCCCAGAGAGCATGCTGGGATGCTGAGGGTGTCTAGTTTGTCTTAAACAAGCAATGGGTCTGGGAAAGACGTTTCATAAACCGGTTTGAGTCAAATTAGTTAAATCTGATACTACATTAAACCAGGTTTATCTCAAACCAGTTTCAGCCATTCTCAAACTGGTTTATGTGCACTGAACATCTGTTCTGTTACAGATTTAAACCAGTTTCTGATCACTTAAAATGGTTTGTGTGTAATGTCTGTCCCTCGCCCTACAGTTACTGTGCAATCCCAACACTACATGGGTCATTTTCGATGCTACTGTGCAGTACAAGCTACTGCGCAGTAGCATTGGCATCATGGTTCATGGCCAGCAATGCTACATAGCTGTAGCAACGAGGTATGGAGAAATAGCTCATCACTACAATGACATATTATCTTGTGTAGACGCATCTAGTGAGATGCAATTGGGGAGCATAACAAGGACCCAGGGGCTCCTGTTACTGTAAGAGGAGAAAGCAGCAGGTTAGAGCATTGTGAAGGAGACAACTGAACTAGGGAGAGCTGCATTTGGAGTAAGCCCCAGAAGGAAGCCCAAAGAGTTATGAGGCTACCTACAATAGGGAAGTAAGACTTCAGGGGCCCAAGGAGCAGAGCTCTGCAGAAACCTGGAGCAACAGGGACCCAGGCCTTGAGGCCTGGGATTGCTAGGTAACTAGAAAGGACTGCAGGTCAGGGGAGTCTCAATAGCTTGTTAGGCTGAGCGGAAACCACTGAGCCCATTTTCAAAGGCAGCAGTCAGGTGACAGGAAAGGGCAAGACTCATAGTTTGTAGGGTTGGAAGGGACCTGAGCAAATCATCAAGTCTGACCCCCTGCCTTGGCAGGAAAAAGTACGGGGGTCAAACGACCCCAGCAAGGTGATTGTCAGGCTTGTCTTAAAGACCCCCAGGGTAGGAGCCAGCACCACTTCGCTTGGAAGTTGGTTCCAGATCTTAGCTGCCCTGACAGTGAAGTAGCGCCTCCTGATGTCTAGTATGAATCTACCCTCTGCCAGCTTGTGACCGTTATTTCTAGTCACCCCTGGTAGTGCTCAGGGGGAGCAGGGACCCCCCCCCAATGCCTGCTGGTCCCCTCTGACTAGTTTGTAACAGGCCACTAGATCCCCCCTCAGCCTTCTCTTGTGGAGGCTGAACAGGTTCAGGTCCCGTAGCCTCTCCTCGTAGGGTCCGCAGTCCCCAACCACCTGCAGCAGCGCTCAAACCCCAGCTGCCACCCATGGGAGGCAGCAGCTACTGCAGTGGAGTGGAATGCAGAGCCCACCTCCCCTCCCCCCCCGGGCGGCACAGCCAGAGTGGAGCCTGTGGGTGGGGCAGGTGTGGGCTGCCTGCTGCAGGCTCAAGCAGGGTGGGGCTGGCTCCCTGCCACTGCGTGCACTCCCAGAGGGTAGGGAGGACCTGTGCCCCCCAGATTTGTGCACGGTGTGGGCTGCCAAATGTGAGCTTGGGCTTCCTGCCCTGCTGCCGTCCTCTGGGACCTCCACTGCACAGTAAGTGGGACCCAGAATGGTGGGGCAGAGTGGGGCCATACAGGGAAACTCCTTGCCACCGTGAGTCCTGCACTGCCCTCATGACCCTCCCCCTGTGCACTCCACAGCAGCAAGCGGCACAAACCTGCACCACCAACCCCACTGCTGCTGGGCAGTCAGGGGACGCCTCGCTAGGGAAATGTGGGGCTTGCAGTGGCAAGGAGCTTCCCCACCCAGCTCTGCTCTGCCGTACTGTACCAGGTCCCACCTGCTGGGCCACAGAGGACCCAGGAAGGGGCAACAGGGCAGGGAGCCCAAGCCCATAGTGGGCAGCCCACATCCAACCCTGCCCCATGCACAGATCTGGGGGGCAACGGTCCCCCATATCCCCACCTGGGAATATGTGCAGTGGCAGGGAACCAGTCCCCCCC